ACTCATATATAGCCCTACTAAATATTAAAATAAAATAAAATGTTTTATTAATCCAGGTTCGCTGCAAACAAAATGTTTTGGTTAACAAATTAAAAATATCTGTTTCACATCACTTAAGTTTATTTAGCCTGATGGTCCATGGGGCAAGTGCAGTAGAGATAAGCTGTTTCTGTGACTTCAGCATATGAAGGGATAGTGTGGTCACTATGCCCAGTCTCCTTTACTTTCCCTAACGTGAGTTAGGTACCTATCAGAGCAGCTGGGTGGACTCAGGGAAGTTCTGCTGACTTGAATCCAGATTCAAACTTGAGACTTTGGGTTATACAGTCTTGCTCTCTGCAGCTAAGCCACACCATCACCTTACATAATTTGCTTTAAATTAAATGTTTACACTCCACTTCTCATTGGAAAGTACATTGCAGTACAGTTGGTGCTTGTTTAGTGTATTCTTGATAAGTTTAAAATAGTTCATATTGACTATGCAAAACTGTGTGAGTGTAGCCTTAAATTCACAATGATAAATAAACAAACGATATATAAAATATAACGATATACAAATAATACAGTGTATGTGAGTAGCAGAACATTGGATAACTAACCTGATAGTCTCAAGTTCTAATAATGGGCTCTAGTAACTGGTTGGGAAAATAAAGGTGGCTGAGCATTGTATTGAACTTGACTACACTATCCCTTCCTATGCCAAGGTCAGAGAAACTCATGATCTCTCCATCTGTCCCATGGACCTGAAAATGTAAAAATAAATCTTTTTAAACAAAATACAATCGCAACTGTTCAGCTCTACATAATGGTTTTTAATTTATCATTCAGCTTTATTATTCAGTTTTACATTTTATACTGTTATAATGCAATTAGTTTACCTACAAAAGTCTGTACAATAAATTTCACCTTTCATTAAATCAGATTGGAAATTCTTTCATATTTACAATCATACCTGGTTTGTTTCAACCTATCACAGCACTTGGTTTTATTTTTTACTGTAATCATAAACCCATAAGCACAAAACACCTGCAAAACAATGACAAGATCAGTTTACTTTATTATACTACAGTATAAATGGTACTTAAAAGTGATACTAATATCTTAATTTAGTTTACACTCTTAAATGGAATACTTAAAATTTAGAACGTAGCATAGTCCCCCACCCCACAGAAGCCACATAAAGGGATCTGAACAATTAACTCTTAAAGGACCTACTGTAAGCATATTCTAAACCCTAACTGTTATTTAAAGTAACATACATGGTAGTACTCTAGCCACTTGAATACAGAGGGTTGTAAATCAGTTGATTGCAGTGTTCAAGTTTAAAACATTGTTGGTATCTTTGTCCCTGTGTCTGTCTTATTCCTGTCTCCATGTTGAGAGAACCTGAAGATTAAAGTTTTGAAAGTAGTAAAAATTTAAATAAAGTGCTTAGGTCTAAGGCCCAATGGCATCGTTAGATCAGGTGTCACCCAAGTAACGATGTTTATCATTAGTCTGTTAATAATACAGTTGGAACTTGTATGTAGCAATGTTTTCTTTATAGTTAGCACGTTTACGTCATGATATCACCCCCACCCTCTTGTAATAGTTGTTGATTTGTACTTAAAAGACTATTTAACTTTAATTAATCATTAATGGGACTGGCAAAACAACATTTTTCTTCTGTATATTTTGCAATTTTTTGCCTTGGTGTCACCCCCTTAAATGGTGTCATCTGTGGCATATATAAAAATGTTATATTAGTTATAAATATTAATAAGCCTAATAATCATATCTCACTATTTAAAAACAATTCTTACTCTCCCCTTTCGATAAATAATAAACGCTTTAGAGAGAAATCTAGTTAGAAATCTGTTTCTACATTCGAATATGCCTTTATTTTACTTCTTTAGGGACTAAATAAAATTTAGTTTAAGTTTATACATTTATTACCGTCCACCATATTATTTTCAACAAGTCCGTATCTTTAAGTTCTTCATATAGGCCCTAAGGATATATTTTTATATTAATATGTATAGGCCTATCGCTGAACATGCTGACGTTGCCAAAAATATTGCAGAGAGAAATGCACACATTTACCATCATGGGCTTTTTTTTTTATATAGATCTATTAGGATTTTCAAGAGTTAAAAGCGAAACTCTTTTTCGCCATCAAATTAATTTAAATTAAAATTAGGGCCTATTAAATGTCATTAGGCCTAATATTTAATTAATTAATAATTTTTAATAGGCCTAGGGCCTAATTAAAATTATTATTAATGGACACCAGCGAGAAAAGTCTCAAAGGTATTTGAGAGGTGTATAAATTAATTTAAAATTCTTGCACGGCGTAGTTACAATTAATATGGTTATAAAATCCTGTCTGTCTGGGTTTTTTCGGACTTTACTAAAGATTGGACGTATTTGATGTTTTTAATATTTTCGGTAACTAAATAAAAATTAAAAAAAAAGGCAAAAACAATTTGGTTTTCACGTGTAATGGCGACATAAACAATGGCATCCTGCTATTGGATAGGCCGACAAAATTTTTATTGTACACATTGTAAGCTAAAAATAGAAAACTAGGTCATGGGGTTTTTAATTTGCATTGTTATTTAAAAACTTGATCTGCAAAGTTTTGTAAACAAATAGTTATCGATCACTAAGTTACTGTACAGCCAATCAATATTTGTCTTACGAAAGTGAAACATCCGGTTATAACTTAGGCTTGATGAAAATAAATAGAAATGTAGCCTTAAACTCAACAAATTATTTTCTAGTTCTCTGGATTTGCAACTTTTATAGCATTTATTCTAAAAATACAAAATTTCTAAATTAATTTTAGGCTTAAGTTTTTATTTTTTATTTTTTTTTACGGTCTAAATCTAAAAAGCACGTTTTTATTCCATGACAACAACACTATGGAAGGAATCTCGTCAACTCGCTTGTCTCCATTATGAAATACGCTCAACTGGAGGTGATCGTGAAGCGGGGAATGAAATACGCTAAAATGCAGTTTTACCCCATCTAGATCTAGATGTAATTATTGTGCAATTTACTAATCAGTGCCAAGATCTTTTAGTATTTTAGATCTATTTTCTACAAAAATATCTTGATATTTCCCACCAAATCGATTTATTATGTTTTCTGTTGGATCTAGTTCCGGTATCGCAAATTATTTAAGTAAAATAAACAACGATCCTAGCTAATTGATTACTTAAAAATATTTAAGCGGGATTTTCGCCAGTACGGCTAAATTTAAAATTTCTGTACTTCCGTTTCGCCACTACGGGCTAATCCCGAGTTTTTTAAGCAATTATTAGTTTTTATCTTTTTTCCGGGAAGTTAGTAAAGGTAGATTGATATAGCAATAATCGAGTACCAATATTTAGACAATAACATTTTAACACGATTCTAAAATTATTTAATATTAATATTAGCTTAGCCGAAGTAAACAACAGTATTAAACCATGAACTTAATTAAAGTATATACAATTGAATTAACACTCAAAATAAAATAAACAAGAATGTAATATAATCAGAAGTGCAGTAGTTAATAAAATAACATTGCACTGCAATGGAAAAGAATTTTTAAAAACTGTAGTCTTTATCGATACTACTGAGAAATCAAGCTCGATACGAATTCGTAAACGCTGAAAGATAAGTCTCATATCTCTGGGCCTACGTGTTTTATATAGTTTTACCAACTATTATGGATTGTGTACATAGACATAGAAAAGATCTAGATCTACATAGATCTATCTCTAACCCATTTAATGCATGTAGCAATTTTGCACATATCATCACACCAAATCATATACTCATGGTACAATATGAACTCCCTCTCTCTCTCAATATATAGAATCTAGGGGTCGTTCATAAATGAAGTCACCCTCGTAGGCAGAGTTTTTTCCAGGCATCTCTTGGAACGAAATGGAATTTATATAGACAATATATACGTTTAACAGTGTCCGCCCCCCCCCCCCGGGAAAATTTAGTCCGCCCCCCACCCTCTCCCGAAAATTTCTCCCCCCCCCCCCCCCCGGGAGAAAAAAGTCTGGAAGAAACACTGCACGTAGGGTGAGGGGGTCCATAATTTTGTGACGATTTGTGATAAAAGTGAGGCGGGGTGTTTATATATGTTTTTTTTTATTTATTTAGGCTATTTGTTCATTTTTTAAATTTATATCTTTTTTTAAAGCACCCTACTATACACGGTGGGATATTACATTCGATGACTAAACATGGTAGTATAACCGATAGATCCCGAGGGCGCCCCGCGACGCCACTGGCACCTGACGCCAAATGGTATGTTCTATCTCAATATTACGGAAGATGATTTGCGTATTCTCAATGTTTTCATAAATCACGCTTTAATTGTGGCGTCTGGGTAGTTGTGATGACAACCAGCGCCCAACAACTATGAGATCCAAGAAAAATATTGCCAGCTTTGTTTACATTTAAATAACTCCGTTCTAGAAAACAAGGTCGCACGCAGAGGCGTAGCGAGGGGGGGACACATGTCCTCGGGCGCCGACCTTAGGGGGCGCCAAAATGGGTTGGAAAAATAAATTGATAGGTTGAGGGGGGGGGGGGTGCAAATCGAAAGTTTGAGGGGGTGCAAATCGAAAGTCTGAGGGGGGGGGGGGGTGCAAATCGAAAGTTTGTCCCCGGGAAGGGTCGCTACGCATCTGCGTCCTCGGGCGCCGACCATAGGGACGGCAAAAAAGTTGGGGAAAAAATTAGAAGCTCATTTTAGCTGCAGTTTTGAATTGTAAATATAAAATAGATTTTTATGCAGCCCAAACTTTTGTAACTAAGAGACGCAAATCTATTGTATCTACTATCTAGCCTAAGCCAAAGTAGGAAAAGTATTGTTTCGATAGATACTAGATCTAGATAGGCCTATTTAAACGCTATGTTATAACTTATCGCCTTAGGCCTACTGGTTTTAAATAGAAGTATTATTGTCAGCTGATCGTTTTCTAAATATAAATATTCTGTCATGTGACCAAAAACTGGCTTTCATGAAACCAAAATGGTGGTAGTAGGTCTGCTGTCTGTTTTATTATTTTATTTTATTGTCGGTTGACTAGATCTAGAATCTAAAAAGACGTTTGATTAGGTACGAAATTTTAATTTTTCTCTTTATCTTTGTTTATTGATTTGATGACTAAAGTCTTCTTTTTTATAACAACACAATGATTCATTGAAATGAATTTTTTAATGATTTTTTGAATTTTGATTGAATCAATTTTTTTTGGTCATCAATCGACATTTACCGTTATTTTACGTACGTAAAATCGGCCAAGACTAGATCTAGAATCTAGATCAGGGGTCTCCAAACTTTTCAGTCCGGGGGCCGCATTGACTATCAAATTTCAGTTCAGGGGCCAGTTTATTCCTGACATGTCGTGATTTTTCTGAGCAAAGTTCCTCAGCCATCACCAACAAATGTTTTCTTCCGTGGACAAAATGATCTCCGCGGGCCGGATGAGAGGACCTCGCGGGCCGCATCCGGCCCGCGGGCCGTAGTTTGGAGACCCCTGATCTAGATAATAATCTAGTAATGTGACAAAGGTGACTCATTAAATTTTAATAATTATTTCATAGGCCTATTTTTTAGGAGGATTTAAAAGTTACAAAAATGTTTCAAAGTTTCATTAAGTAATAGATCTAAGTAGGCCGTTCGTTTCACAGCTTCCGGGTTTGTTGATTTGACGCCATCGCACGGCTCACGCGCTTACCAAAAATGGCGACCAGTTTCGCTTTCACTAATGGGTAGAGCGATAAAACTAATGATTACGAAGCCATCGTTAATTTAAGAAATCGGAACTATCCGTTTCTATTTAAGTCTGTTATTTAAGAATTGTCGGATCTACTTTTGGCCTAATTCCTTTGTTTGTCTCGCAAGCGGCGCCTTAGTGAAAGTTGCTCTATATAATTCTTATCTTTCGAATCAAATAACTATAAAATACCGCAGCTATTTTTAACCAGACTATTGCTATCTTTTACTTGAAAGCATTAATTTTACACACGTTACAATAAACTGGTAATAATTTATTGTAGGCATAAGATATGCTCTGTAAGAATAATAATGCCATTTTATTATAATCTTTTTTGGTGAACACGAAGCGCGGGAAAATGTGTGACGCGCAAGAATCCAATCATTCGGCTAGATTTATGACTGTTTTTTATGTCACACCTAAAAATAGAATGTTTACGCTTTCTTCATTGATGATCGTTTTCATTATTTTTTTAAACTGAAAGTATGAATTATTAGTTAGATTTCAGGTTTTGTAACTTGGTATACTTACCCTTTATCAAAATTAAAAGCATAGCATGCTGATTGTGAACAAATATAGTCATAAAACACAAATATAAAGTTACAAACAATGCGATGTCGGGATGTGCCACACCCCCTCAAGAAAACACGTGTTTATTAATCTGTTTATCTCACTTTACAACAGTAATTAAAATTAATTTTCAAATTTTTATCACTTATTGGGTAAGATTAAGCACATGTTTACTAAAAATGAAAAAAAAACAAAAGCAAATTCTGTTTTAATGAAGGTCACGGGTCAAGTTTTTTTTTCCTTCTGTCAAGTTCAGTGGAGGGTGCCACAGGCTGACCTGACTTTGGAATTTTTTTTCAGTAATAATGACTTTGCACAGAAAGTTAAAATATGCTAAATTGGCTTAGTTTACTAGTGTGCAAGCTATTATTGATACATTTTTAATAAAAAAATCATTCTGTAATTCTCATCAAAAAGCCTAATCTAAGTACTACTAAGTACTACTTAGCCTAATAAGTTATTAATATCAGTAATAAGTATTTATTGAGTAAGGTACCTGTTTTTAAACATTCTGATTATTGTGGTAAGGGGGTCATCCATAAATGACATCACGCTTTTTTTGATGATTTTTACCTCCCGCCTCCCCTCCATCACACATTGTCACAAAAAGACAGACCCCCTAAAATGACGTCACACCTCAGCCTACAACCCCCCTCAAAATTGCAGTTGAATTTTTCTTAAAACATCGATATTTTTCCAAAATATTGTCAGAACTCTGTCAACAGAGTATTTTGATCAATTCCTATTGCAATTTATTAAAACATTTTTCTAAAGCGCAAAATAACGTCTAAAATTCCTTTTCTAACATAGCTTTTTTATAATGCAAAAGTGTGAACCCCCCTCCCCCTCATCACACACCGTCACGAGTGTGACATCATTTCATGACAACCCCTAAAACTAAAGACTAGGATGTTTTCATCAGATGCAACCAAGCTCATTTACTTTAGCAGTCATCTTGTTCAAGTTTTTTTTTGGTGGTAAAATTAAAGTTAGAGATTCAGGGGAAACCACTCTAACTTACAGAGGGCTGCTATTCATATAGCAAATCCAGAACGCAAACACTGCTGTTTAAAGTTAATTTCTTTAGCCATTGATCTTGGTTTATTATTCAGTAATCTATAATATTTGACACAAATACATCACAATATTCTTCTATTTAAGCATTAACAATGATTACTAGCTTCAGCTAATTTTACACACCTAAAATGATATATTACCCAATTTTTTAATGATTTTATTTTATTTTTAGAGTTTTTTTTTTATACCAGTGTCAAATAATAGAATCTTTAAAAAGGGTGGTGAAAGTGTTAGTTTACTGGTAGTTAACTAAAATATACATATGGCTTGCTAATGTTAATGCTAACCCTATCCCTAAGGTCTAAGCCGCCCTAAGCTAACCCCAACCATAGTCATAAGTCTAACCCTAATTTCTAACTATAAAACTAGTCAAGATTACAATACTACTATCAACCTAACACACCTATTTTTGACGAGTCTATTATGAGACATCTGTATCTTCAATCATCCAAATAATTTTATATAGGCCTACATTAATTCAAAAGCTTAGATAACTTGGCTTTAATTTGAATGGTTTAAGTTTCGCACTACCATTAAAATAGGTAGTAGCATAAGAAATGAATATTTGAGTATTTTTTCCCAAAATTATATGAGTTAGTTAGAGGAAAGATTAAGAATTCCATTGGTACCAAAGTTATATTTCTAGCTTTAGTAGGAGAGGAGAAATATATTTTTTCTATTTAAATTGTATAGTCTTATATAAGCTCTGTAAAAAATGAAGTAGTGGGAAACAAAAATGAAAAATTTATAAAATATATTTGCAAAAACATTTTCTTTTTTTCTTTGGTGGTATGCTTTATTTTAAAATATTTTACATTTTTACTATGACTAATTATATATGAAAAAATGGCAGATGAAGGTCTGAATCATAAAAAATTCATAAAAAATGTATTTGTAAAATTAAATTACAATTTCTTGATAAAATAAAAACCACAATATTTATATAATAAAATAAAGTTGATTTAGAGCATATATTGTTTCAAAATTAATTTTTTTTAAAGCAAAAATGAAAGAAAATGAAAAGTAATTGCACTAGGTTATAGCTGAACCTCAGTAGATTTTTAAAATTTGGTTGATTTGTGTATTGGAAATTAATATGATATTAATTTTAAATTAATAAGAGACAGTGGTAACAACAAAATTTGAAAAATCACTCAAGAACTTTGGGCAGGTTTTTGTGTGAAAATTATCTCCCTTTGTCCAAACGCTACATACTACATTAAAATACCATTTCTATTTGGTATTTACTTATTTTAATATTTATTTTATGTAAGGTTTGGTTCTTTGGATCTCAACAATTGAATTATTTATAATTTAATATTATTTAACAACACAGTGTGCTTGAAATAAGGGGGGGGGGGGGGTGAAAATCGAAAGTTTTGTCCCCGGGTGACGAGAAGGGTCGCTACGCCTCTGGAAGGAGTTTGTCAATTTAAAATAGGTGGTGCCCGCCACCCTACCGATATTTTAGAATGTGCTCTAGAGTAAAAAAGGTTGGGAACCCCTGATCTAGAGTGTTGAGAGAAAAATTAGCATGTCAAATATTAATATATTTGTTCATGGATCTTTCCCATTACCAACCAAAAACGCAAGCAAAGTATTAAACATGGGGGGGGGGGGGGGGGGTAGGGAGGGTGCTAACAGTTAATTCTATGTACTTGTTGAATGTATTTTAATAATTAAGATGAGCATTTATGATTAGACTGAGGTGTGACATCATTTAAGGGGTTGGGTCCTGGCTAATCGTAAAGCTGCATGGGGTTGAGGAGGGAGGGGAGGTTAAAATCACTACAAATCATGACGTCATATGATAAGGATAACCCAGTATAGGTATAAATCCAGTGCTTTATTTACACTTCACTATGGGTTTTAAAACACAAGCACTGTCGTCTTAATTTTACTGTTTACAAGCAGGATACAAGTTTTATGTTAGTTTGAAATGTGGACACCCCCCTTTCCCCCCCCCCCCCCCCCCCCCCCCTCCCCCCTCAGTCCACACACGTCCACAAAAGGTGATTTTTATCTAACCTCACCCTCTTCTTGGACGTCATAAATGGATGACTCCTAACAAAATCTGAATCAGATTGTCTCCTTCATAAGATTATTCCCATCCAACATTGATTGTGCTCCCACCCACCAGCCACTTTCTCCCTGTGTCCTTTGGTTCGTCCTCCTTAAATACCACTCCATAACAGGCTCACTGTCACACTTGTTCACTCTGTACAACATCAGTATACAGATGGTGTACATTCACGCTACAGTATAGTCTACACGCTATTTACACTACAATGCATAAAAAATATTTTAATACAAGCTTATATGTAATAATGCACTAAAAAGGAGAAAATAAATTATTTAAAATTTATAATACGAGCTACTATTAAAATAACTAAAAAGAAAAAATTGTGAGTGGGCCTATCAATCAGTTTTAATGAGGAAACAGGGAAAAAGTAAAGTGCCCTTTCAAAGCTGATGGTCCATGGGGCAGGGGATTTCCCCTGGTTCAGTGACCTCTACATATGTATAGGTAGATTGGTCAGCATTATGCCCATCCCCCTTTACTCTTAAGGCGAGTCAGCTTTTCATGGAGAGTTGGGTTGACTGACATGAATTGAGGACTCAAACTCAAATCTTTTGGGTTAGCAGTCATATGCCTCACCCTCTTGACTACGCCATCCCTTAATGATGTAACCAAAATCTAGCCAGCCTCCTGTCAACTGTTTAACAATAATCTTGTCAGCCAGTTACTACATATGTGCCAGGGTATTTTGTGCTAGTTAACAGTAATCTTGTCAGCCAGTTACTCCATATGTACCAGGGTATTTTGTGATCAGAATTCCAACGTGGCCAAAGATAACCCCATTCCATGTGAACATGGTGTAAAAAAGATTCATTCCTTTCATCTGACATCCTAGATACCAACATCAGATAACTGACTTTCAGGGGATTGTCAACCAGATTTTATACTGCAAAAGCTATCTATAATATTCTTACTGTTAAAAACTGTAGTTACTTTGAACATGTTGAAATCAAACAACATAAATTATGTGTTAAAATATAATCAGATAAATTTTGTTAGAAGATATGTTACAGTACCTAACAGTAAAAGCTGTGACTGTTTTCTTAAAAAACCAAGGGTTAACTTAGCCGTAAACATAACCCTGTTGTTTTAATTTTTTCCTGGTTAACATTGAACATTCAGTCTGAGACATGTTACCAGCTTTCTGACATGCATGTATAAATTTTAATTTGACTGTCATTCATTCCTTAATAATAATATAATCAATACAGCCAGCAGGTCACAGGGTGTATGCACTGAAATATTTCTCTTGAAATTGTTTATCATTGCATTGATATTTAGGAATGTAATCACAGTTGTGATAACATTAAAAAGTTGATCTCTCTCTCTGTTGTCACCAGGTCAGTTGCTACTCTCTATTTTGTCAACAACATCAGTTAGAAGATCAGCCATAACAACATCAGTTAGAAGATCAGCCATAACATCAGCTAAGAGATCAGCCATATCCATATCACCAATAACAAGGAATTTATAATGGTACTGTAGAGACTTGATTTTTTTTTACTTTTATCAGCTTCTCAAATTAATCAGCTCACTCTAGCTATGAAATTATCTTATCATAATTTTGTTATTGTAAATGAATGTTATATCTATTTTTTTTTTTAAATTTCAACTTTTGACACAGTCCATTGAACTCTATTACTGGGGATTAGCTGGGGATTAGCTGGATTGAATGTGGGGCAGGGAGACTGAGTCACATGTGCATACCAAAGTTTATTCCCTGGACCTGATGTCCACTAATCAGGAATGATCTAGGCCCAGCTGATAACCCTTCTTTGTTTGTAAATGACCAGTGTCTTACCTGGGCTGTTATCACCCCCAGTAGGCTCTGGGCTGGCAAACATTCTTCAATCACTTTTGTAACTAGTTTGTTTGGATTAGTTAGTCCACTGTGTGGCTGAGCATAATTCATTAAACATCTGACATTAATCCTGCTTGAACAGAGTTTCTTTTACGGCATGCAAGAAACATTTTTTACTTTAATGGTTACCAAACAAACTTGCTAATTTAAAAGATAATTAGTTGATTAAAGACATTTTGTTTGCTAGTTTAAAATCCTGTGTTTAGGTTTTGATTGATAATTTAAATTACACCTGGAGATATTATTGTTTGGAAAAGTTTACACAGGTGATAGTGCTTCACGAGTTTCAAAACATCACAAGTATTAAACATTGTGAATTATTTCATACTTAAGTAAATATTTACCCAGTCATTTTGTTTTCCTCAGCTGACTACACCACTGATTTGATGGTGGATGTTTGTTTTCCTCAGCTGACTACACCACTAATTTGATGGTGGATGTTTGTTTTCCTCAGCTGACTACACCACTGATTTGATGGTGGATGTTTGTTTTCCTCAGCTGACTACACCACTAATTTGATGGTGGATGTTTGTTTTCCTCAGCTGACTACACCACTAATTTGATGGTGGATGTTTGTTTTCCTCAGCTGACTACACCACTAATTTGATGGTGGATGTTTGTTTTCCTCAGCTGACTACACCACTAATTTGATGGTGGATGTTTGTTTTCCTCAGCTGACTACACCACTGATTTGATGGTGGATGTTTTAGCTTGACAACCTGATCCCAACTGTCAGAACTTCTAAACTATTTTGTCGACCCTGGAAATGGAAACCATGACAACCATCCTACCCAACCTGTACTACACAACAGCTAACAGCAGCTCCAATTCGACCGTGGAGCCAGATTCACACCTCCCCTACCCTATTTACGTCGGCTATATATGTGCGTTTGTGGCTGTCATTATGTATGGAAGTAACTTTGTACCTGTGAAGAAGTTCTACACTGGTGATGGTATGTGTTATTTTATTTGCTATTAGTGCAACATTTGTGTGATTTACTGGTGATGGTATGTGTTATTTTATTTGCTATTGAATTAGTGCAACATTTGTGTGGTTTACTGGTGATGGTGTGTGTTATTTTATTTGCTATTAGTGCAACATTTGTGTGATTTACTGGTGATGGTATGTGTTATTTTATTTGCTATTGAATTAGAGCAACATTTGTGTGGTTTACTGGTGATGGTGTGTGTTATTTTATTTGCTATTGAATTAGTGCAACATTTGTGTGATTTAGTGGTGATGGTATGTGTTATTTTATTTGCTATTGAATTAGAGCAACATTTGTGTGGTTTACTGGTGATGGTGTGTGTTATTTTATTTGCTATTGAATTAGTGCAACATTTGTGTGATTTAGTGGTGATGGTATGTGTTATTTTATTTGCTATTGAATTAGAGCAACATTTGTGTGGTTTACTGGTGATGGTGTGTGTTATTTTATTTGCAATTAGCGCAACATTTGTGTGATTTACTGGTGATGGTATGTGTTATTTTATTTGCTATTGAATTAGTGCAACATTTGTGTGGTTTACTGGTGATGGTATGTGTTATTTTATTTGCAATTAGTGCAACATTTGTGTGATTTTTCCGATCTTTGCTTCATTGTTGTAACCATTTGAAATATCTGAAAAACACATTTCACTTAACTGTTACAGAGAAGTTCTAGTTAAGTTTGTTTAAATATTATTAGTTTGACGAAGTTGGTGTAATGAATATATGTATAAGTGATGAAGTTAGTCTAATTAATAGAATTCATGAGTTGGGTCTAATTGATATAAGTGAGGTCGTCTAATTAATATAAGTGATGAGGTCGTCTAATTAATATAATTCATAAGTTCGGTCTATTTAATATAATTCATAAGTTCGGTCTAATTGATATAAGCATGAGTCTAATTAAAATAAATGATGAGGTTACTGCCATATCACTGTCTACTGTATACTGCGCCAAGAACCAGTGGCGGAATCTACCTTATCAAGTAGTGTGGTGTTTTAAAAAAAATTCTGGCTGTTTTCTTGCAGTGTAGGACTAAAGAAATAAAAATATTTGATGAACTTGCTAACATTACCTCCACAACAGACTTGTTTGATAGCTTGGGAGGGTGGGGGCTGTACGGACACTTGATTCTTGAATGATGGGTTTTTACCTTCAAAATTTAAATTTAGTAATTTAAAAAAAAAATTACACTCACCTTCTGCCGTTATTTTCAATATTCATGGCTTTCAATTGTACTTATATTTCGATTGAGTGTAAGTGTACACAGTACAGTTTTTAAATCATGATTGTCTGTTGCAGGGATGTTTTTCCAGTACATTTTGTGCAGTGGAATTTTTCTTGTGGGTGTTGTGGTTCAGCTCATTCGGAATTCTGAATTTCAGCCTTTAGTGATGCTTGGTGGGACCATATGGGCTACAGGTAGGGCCTACCTATTTCACTCTTAAGTAATGCTTGCTGTGCAAAATCTCTTCATTTTTTAACATGTAAAAATTTAAAACTTGCAAGTTCAATTAATTTTTGTCTAGTCCAGCTAAATATTTTTACTTTCAGTATTGATTAGATTTCTATAGCTACGCAAATGTTTGTTTTTGTAGGCAACTTGTGTGTAGTCCCAGTGATCAAGACCATTGGGTTGGGCCTGGGCATGAGCATATGGGGAACTATTGGCCTTGTGTTTGGCTGGGCAAGTGGCAGGTAACTGGAGCAAATCAGAATTAACCACGGGGAGGGGGGCAGAGTAAAAAAGTGGATGAAGGCAGCTGGACATAGTGCTGACTACTAAGATTTTAAGAAAAAAATTGGTCTTTGACTAAGTAAACTTTAAGTGTAAACATCTAGTTCTATTGTATTTTTAAATTTACATTTCTGATTTGTATCTAAGTAAAACAGGTCTTTAAAAATTAGTTGAATTATTACAAACATCTGGACTTATGTTTTTCCTTATTTCAAGTATTGGTGTATTAAGACTGTTGAGAGACATGAAATCTTTGTTGTAAGTTTTAATTTTGAATTTAGATTTGGATTTTTTGGGACCAAGTGCAACACAGTTCAGCACTCCGCCATGAACTACGGGGGCGTGGGGCTGGCTTTTGCCAGCATCCTGCTGTACGTGATGGTGAAAAATGAAGTGAGTGGCTCGTCAACTGACATGGAGGTGATAGTGGAATGTGGGGACTCCGAACCTCTCCTGCCCTCAACAAGTGTGAGTGGGATTTGTTTTTGTTTGAACTTTTTTGTCCCTTTGTTCTTGATTTTTTGGTGTTGACCAGTTGACTTAATAGTGTTTGACTAGTTGACTTAGTGATGTTTGTCTAGTTGACTTAGTGGTGTTTGTCTAGTTGACTTAGTGATGTTTGACCAGTTGACTTAGTGGTGTCTGACCAGTTGACTTGGTGGTGTTTGACCTGTAGATAGTGCCTGGACTCATGCTGCTGGAGCCCACTCAGCTATAATGAGTACCTGGTTTCATTTAATTTAATAGCCAGTCTGATGGCTGACCTTGTCCCCCTCTGTTGGCCAGTAGTTATCAAATGTGTTTGATCTGGATGTTTCCTGTCCTCTGTTGGCCAGTATTTATCAAATGTGTTTTGATCTGGATGTTTCCTGTCCTCCTCTGCAGGCTGGTTCCATTAACGAGTCATTTGGCAGCACACGACGCACCCAGCCAACTGGGAATGACAATGTTCTTATTTTCAAAAACTCAAATGTGAGTACTCCCATGTAACTAAAGCTCCCTTTTGTGCACTTTCCAACAGAACTTGTTTAGTTTTTCAATGTTTTATTTTTTTATTTAGGTGAACAAAGGGAAACAACCAGAAGTTCAAGTAGAAGAAGAGGATGATAAAATGTTTATAGAGACTTTATCTCCCATTAGAAAAAGAATCATGTAAGTAACTTAAGAACCTTCTGGGGGAGAGCTGGTTGTGTTGTTGGTTCACAAGTAAAATATTCTGTTTGATTCTTAACTATTTCAGGGAATATTTTTTAACACAACCTACCATGTTTTTTTTATTTTGGTTCAGTAAACTTGATTTTTTTATTAGTGTAAAAAGTAAAGCATGAATGTTGATATTGCTTGATGAGAATTGAAATGTACCAAAACACTTGTTAAACATGGCAGAAGGGGCTTTCAATTAATTGTTGGGTTGAGCCCATACGTGTAACTCATGTATGTAACCCTCATACATGTAATTCATGTATGTAACCCTCATACATGTAACTCATGTATGTAACCCTCATACATGTAACTCATGTATGTAACCCTCACACATGTAATTCATGTATGTAACCCTCTGATGTTGTTCTCCAGTGGTACATTCCTCTCCGTCTTCTCTGGTGTCATGTATGGCCTCAACTTCATGCCATCCATTTATGTTAAAGACAACTTCAAAGGAGCAAGCTTAAATGGTAAGCAATTCATTTGGTAAATTTAACTTTAAATGGTAAGCAATTCATTTAGTTAATTTAAGTTTAAATGGTAAGCAATTTATTTGGAAAATTTAAGTTTAAATTGTAAGCAATTCATTTGGTAAATTTAAGGCTAAATGGTAAGTATTTCATTTGTAAATTTAACTTTAAATGGTAAACATAAATAGTTTAACTAGTAAAAATCTGAATAAACATTTGTCTCCTGATAAAACCACTTTCAGATTTGGACTACACATTCTCCCAGTTCACTGGTATCTACGTCACAAGTTCCATCTACTTTTTCATCTACTGCATCTTTCAAAAGAATCGGCCGAAGGTAATTTTGCCTGGTGTCAAAAAATTTTGTTTGCCCTCTTATTAAGAAAGTTACTCATGTTTTAACTCATTTCCTACCTAAACCTATCTCAAAACTCTTCCTCAATCCCTAAGCTAAGGGAGGTAACCCCAAACACCTTTTCTTTGAAATTTAAAAAAGAAATAAGTATCATTTGTTTAATTATTAAAAAGGCACAAAATATGCTTATTAAATAAAGGAATGTATTCTCTCAAAGAAAATATATAATTTAACATGTTTTTCTGATAGTATTTATTGTTTGGAGTGAATTTTGTGATGCAACCATGTGGTCTGAGACCACCACGGGGTGCCTTGGTATTATTTATAATATTTAAAAAGTTACGACTTTACAATAGATGCTGATTGCTAATTTTAATAGCTTAAATATCTAAACGAAAAAATTTTCAGGAAATAGTAAACGAAAATAAGATTAAAAATTTGTCCAAAACTTGACTTAGTAAACTTAGTATAAAATAATAACAAAAAATGCTAGAAACTTCCGTTTTTGTGTGGGGGGGGGGGGGGGGGGTGGAATCTCTTGTATTCTTGTACTTTATTTTAGATTTTATAAGGAAGTATATTTTTAAAAGGAAGTAATGGCGTCATGTCACTTTGGTAGCACGGGGGTATGTCACATTTTGTCGCATTAGTAGCTATTGTGTTAATTAACCACCATTAAAAAATATGTTCACAGTCCAAAAGATGTGTCTATCATGTACTGACCAAACCCTATCCTGATGTTTCTTCCAGTGTCCGTCATCCTGTTTTATTTACTAACCAAACCCTATCCATTTTCCTGATGTTTCTTCCAGTGTCCGTCATCCTGTTTCATGTACTAACCAAACCCTATCCATTTTCCTGATGTTTCTTCCAGTGTCCGTCATCCTGTTTCATGTACTAACCAAACCTTATCCATTTTCCTGAGGTTTCTTCCAGTGTCCATCATCCTGTTTCATGTACTAACCAAACCTTATCCATTTTCCTGAGGTTTCTTCCAGTGTCCATCATCCTGTTTCATGTACTAACCAAACCTTATCCATTTTCCTGATGTTTCTTCCAGTGTCCATCATCCTGTTTTATGTACTAACCAAACCCTGTCAATTTTCCTGCAGGTGTACCCGACCGTGATCCTGCCAGGAATCTTGTCTGGAATCATGTGGGGTATAGCCACGGCCTGCTGGTTCATCGCTAATGCTGAGCTCTCCGAGGCTGTGTCCTTCCCTATTGTCTCGACCGCCCCATGTGCTATAGCTTCATTGTTCTGGGGAGTTCTCATATTCCGAGAAGTCAGGGTAAATATTCCATACACACCAGTTAACTAACTTTATTAGACCTATGTGAAGTATGACAAACTAGATGACCATTTCACATTGACCCAGCTATCATTGCCTGACTTGTGTAAAGATGCAGTAAAGTATGACAAACTAGATGACCATTGCATGTTGACCTAGCTATCTTTCCCTGACTTGTGTAAAGATGCAGTGAAGTATGACAAACTAGATGACCACTAGATGACCACTGCATGTTGACCCAGCTATCATCCTCTGACGTGTACATGGGCTAACTGGTCATCATCCAGACTTGTGCCAATGCCCACATTTTTACTGGGATTTGAACTCAGAACCTCATCTTTCTTACCATCACCTTCTCTTTGACTCCACTCCTTCAACATATTTTGTTTATGTTTATTCCATTGGGTTTATTTTACTATGATTTTTATTTGTGTTTAGCCATGTTTAGGATATGTTAAAGGTATTAAAGAAATCAACTGAAGCACCTAGTAAAAAAAAATTTTTGTTTCACTATTTTATAAGTTATATTGTTTAAAGTTTTTTATTTTTTTCTACCTAGGGTTTGCGAAACATTGCTATTCTCCTGGTGGCATTTTGTATTATGACATCTGGGGTGATTCTGGCGGGTTTTTCAAAATAAAGTATCCAGCAGCTTATTCTCTGTGCACCATGTTTAACTTATGTGAGAAACTTGTGTAAGTTTTGTTGGACTAAGTGATGAAATAATGTACAGTTTGGTTGTCTTTCATTCCATCATTGTCTTATCCACAACATGCATCTTATACCTGTGTTTGAATACATTTTCTGTGGGACATTCAGGGTTAATTTATCTATTGAATTGTTGTGTACAATACTAGTTTACTATTGTTTTCATGCTCAATTATTGTATACAATACATTTTGAGACTGGACTAAATTATTGTTTACATAAGAATAATGTTCATCAACATAATGTTGTCTCATCTACCTACACCATTTCACCCAGATTTTTAAACCCCGCCCCCCTCTTAGTTATGATCTCATGTACAAGTATATTAAAATCTCCAAGTGTATGACTCCCCTTGTGTAACCTTGACCCACAACCTCTGTCACTGATGCTAGGTGTATTGCCGTGTTATAAACCACTGCAGCTATCCTGACGTTAGGCCATGTAGAGTTGTGTTTGAACCCCCTCCCTCAGCATACCCATGTACTCCATAATTTATTGTAACACCTTACAAGAACTTGATCAATGTTTAGTTATTTGGCTGAAAGGTTAACCCCATCTTTTTATCATCCATATTTTAAAAAATTAAAATCCATGTATTTGTACATACAATATTTAATGACTCAAATTAAAGTATTTTTAAACTTTAATTTTTTTAAACTTTTTACTGCAATATCAGTCAGTGAAACTTATTTTCAAACTTTATTTTTTTTCACCCTAGTCCGTATTTTTAATCCAACCCTTTTCCAAACTTTATATTTTTTCACCAAAGTCTTAATTATATAAATCAGTGTAACCCATTTCCTAACTTTATTCTATTTACCAAAGTCCTTATTTTTAATCAACTCTTTAACCAGTGGTTAAGGAAACAGGAACTAGATGATATTATAATTATCCAGCCTGAACAAGGCTCTCTTATGTAGTGAGGTATGTTGTGAGTAGTTGAAGAGTGCTATATAAGATGTCTTGTATGTGTCAATGAACAATGACTGTATTTATCATTATTAAAACATTTTGAAACATTTTGTGATTGTTTGATAAAGGTTTGCTGATAACCATTTACAAATAATTCTAAACATTGTGAATGTATACACATCTATGGCACAGAGTGGTGTTCTTTAGACTGAATGGATGAAAATCTCACAGCGTGTTAACTGCTAGACCACTTAGTTTGGATACAGGAACAGTTTAGTTGGGGTCTGCTGTCTCAAGCATGGGTACCGAACTCTTGACTTTAGGCTACCAAGCTTGGGTTCTAATAATAGAGCATGACTAAGATGATTGATTTTTAAAATGGGAACCAAGTTATAGAAGTGTGGTTGGGTGGTAGAGCACTTAACTGCTAACCTGCAAGTCTCAAGTTTGGATCCCAGACTAAAGGTCAGTATGATCTCAGTCCACCCAGCCCTAATGTGTACCTGATTCTAGTTAGGGAAAGTAAAGGTTGCTGGCCTGTGCTGACCACATTATCCCATCAAATACCAAGTAGAACTCTATTCCATCTGCCCCATGGATCGCTGGAGTAACTATTTTTTTAAATTTCAAGACAAAATTAATTCCATTCAATCCTGAGGGAGGGGGTATGTTATTTTGTTTAAACACCGTATTACTGCATTCAACAAATCAAAACCAGAATTAAAAAAATGGCGCTTGTGTTTTATTGATGTACCATAAAATGATGGACCTTGTTAAAGTAAACTAGACTGGAAGTTGTGGCCTGCCACCATTGTAGTTGCCTGTCTTTGAACCTAGCTTAGAAGTTGTGGCCCTCCATCAATTAAGTTTGTTGCCTGTCAGTTGAAGCCTGCCATCAAGAAAGTTGCCTGTTAGCTAGCCAGGAAGTTGTGGCCCGCCATCGTGGTAGTTTCCTGTCAATGAGGCGCCACTAAAATCCATTCCTGGATTCTGAAATCATATTTAGAACATTTCAAATTGTTTTCACAAATTTATTCATATGTCATTTTGAAGACTACACTGGAAAAACCACAGATGTCCACTCTTTGAAATGTTTTATTTATGTAGTATAACAATATGAAAGCTTAATAACCTCCTTGTTCCTCGCAATATTTCGGATTTTAAAAGTATTCGCAATAGAATGTCATTGAATCTCAAACACAAGACGCCGTTTTTCTCAAAATCAGAAATCAGTTACAACTGTGGTTTATTCCATTCTCTTCATTAGTAAGCATATTTACCTCATATTGAAATCTTTGTAAAGTTAACTTTCTTTGCATTTGATCATATATGACGGGATCTGCTGCATACTTTCCAACCAACAATGATGGCCAGCAATGGGCTGCGGTATTGTGGGATTTACTGAGACAGATTCTAATCATTCGCTTGTCCTCTGAAGCATGAAAAAAACTAACATAATTAATAACTGGTTCTGATAATAGTAACAGAATATGCCATCAAGCTTTTGAAACATTTAAGATTATTAATCCTTAAGACTACTGTAACTGAAAACATGATATGTGTGTCATTGTTCCCTAATTTATACAGCCTGTAATATTTGGTACTACAACAACCCAAAGTCATATATATTGTAAGATAAGTCATTGATTTTTTTATTTTTTTTGAGTAATCAAAACAAATTAATATTAAAAAGAATTTTTTTTAAAAATACAAATGCATGAACAATTAAAAGAAAATTACAAATCTGATACGTACCTAATGTCCATACTGTATCATCTGCATGAACAGCCTCATATAAATCTCCCTAAAGATTACACATGAATATGACCATCTGATCAACACAGTAACAAATATCCAACTAATGACTGAAATAGTTTCAAACTTGAGAATCAAACATGAAAATATAGAAATCTTGGTGTTAGGTTAGCTTATACTATACTTACTATACTAAGGTGGCAAAATTCTAAAACTAAAACACATTTCTGATTTTGTGTTTCACTGAACAATTAACTTTAGGAGGTTAGCTTATACTTACTATACTAAGGTGGCAAAATTCTAAAACTAAAACACATTTCTGATTTTGTGTTTCACTGAACAATTAACTTTAGCAAGCACAGTAATCCTACTACACTAGTAGATACAAATAATTATGAAATCACAAATCTCGCAGACAGAAACATTCAAATTTGTGTGATTAAACATCTAGGCAGCATAGAAATTACATTTATTTAACTAGGCCATATTGATTGAAATCATGGAAGCAGGGTTTCTTTCAGACATTTGTCTCACTTAACACTTAAAACAGGGGGGGGGGGGGGGCTGCCTGTGAGAAACTCTCACTCTGAATTGAAGGGAAATTAATAATTATGTGGGACATATATTATATATGGAAAACTCCTAGTTATAAATAATAATAATAATAAAATAATCTGACAACCTCCAAAATTATTGTTCCATTTATCTTTACTTGAATGTGTTTTACTTTTGTTTTGCATTCTATTTGTTTTGATTTCAACTCTGTGTCAGAGTGGATCTCGATTGTTACTTCATCAATCGTTTGCCACCAGCATCCCCATTCAGTCTTGCAGCGGATTACACCACTTCTTTCATCAAAGTCAGACATAGTTAACGTAATACAGCTCTAGATGAACTTCAATAAATATTATAATTTTATAATCGTTCTTGTTTAATTTTGATGCTATATTTATTAATATTTGATTTTTGTTTATCCACAAATTATTTTTAACAGGAAATAGAGCTCTCTAATGCTTAGGGGCAAATAGAAACATGTCCACAGTCTAAAGTAATCGATAAAATTTAGCACGATAAATAAGCGTGTTTGTTTATAATGAAAATAATAGTGTATCTGTAAGCCTACATTTTAAAAAATTGTAAGTTACGATTGGATTCAAAACAAAAATGTCCAGCAAATCGGCGGCCAAGTCAATACACTTTGCAGCTGATTTACCTCAACTACAAAACCATATAAAAAGAGATCCTATTTCTTATAAAGAAGAAGTGAGTACGATCGGAACTTCAAAGAATTCAAAGATGAAGAGACCAATCTCATTCTCAATCAACTCAAAGTTGATTGAATTTTTTAGACTTTTGGCCTATTATTTTTAATTTTTTAAATTATGAAAGAACTCAAGTGACTTGATGAGTAGCCAGGATAAAATTTACGAAGTGACTACTCGGAAGAAGATTTTTCTCCCCTACGTCTCCACTTAGTCGGCAAAAGATAGCTCTGCGCATGCGCAGTGACCTATGGCTAGGGTTAGGGCTAGAATGAGGGTTAGGATTAGGGTTAGGTATAGGATAGCGAGACTCACTAACTTAAAAGCGTCCTTGGTTGCTAACCAGAACATGGCTACCACACCTTGGCCTACGATTGGGCAATTTTTTCTGCCCTGTTCGAGAGACCACATTAACTTTAAAAATAATTATCACGCGAAAAATGGCGTTTTTTTCGCGTATTTTAAGCAATCTAATGATGACAAAGCTATTTTTGGCAGATATTTTTTTTTTTTTTTTTGCTTCCGACATTGAAAGGTCAAACGTAAACATGGGTACAGTTTGAGTAGCTCAAAAACTTTAAATAATGGTCTCTAAGGTGTCAAAACTGCATGCCTAGGTCGAGTATTATTAGATTGATCGTTTAGTGAAAAAAAATTGTAAATATTATGTTCGCCTTTTAAGAAATCGGCATCGCAAAAAGGTCACTGAAAGCACGTTATTTTTTATTGTGACGTCATCGCTATTGTTACGGAAGCTGTACAGTAGTATCCTCTCGCTGCTTATATAATTGTGTTTTCTTTTCACTTGACACTCTTTTTCAGCTTATTTTGCTAGCGTAATTAGACTAATTAAGCCTAATTATGGATATTTCACCTGACTTTTGGATTATACTATGACTCTAAAAACCCTTAAACCACAACGATCTGTTATTTTTTTTTTTTTTTGTTGATCCATGGAATTAGATCTAGATCTAGTAGTGAGCGTTGGTCTTTGTGTGCTTACTTAGGCTAATGACTTAGGCCTAATTATTTGTTTTCAAATTTGTTATAGCTTAATTAATTTGTCTGAATTCTTATTGATTTCATAAATTTTAATTAGGCTAATTATAATATTATTTTCACTGGTCTTCGTTGCCTCATTATTTGTTTTCAAATTTGTTATAGCTTAATTAATTTGTCTTAATTCTTATTGATTTCATAAATTTTAATTAGGCTAATTATAATATTTTCACTGGTCTTCGTTGATACATTTATTAGGCTTAATAATGTTAATATTATTACGATTTTAGAGGCCTGATAGATAAATTAAATGATTTTAGCGTTGGGTCTAAGTTTACATTACTAATTAGTACTTAGTAAACCAAGTACGCATGGACTATAGGACATGTGTGTGCTGTGCCCGCGCTGTGGCGGGCGATGCCTCTCTCGCTGACAAACCAGCGCGAGCGAGCGAGTCGTTTGACACACGTGGTCTGTGTCGATGTTTGGAATGCATAGGCATAGGCCTAATTCTCGCTCTCGGGTGATTAATTTTTATGCGCTGACATTTGAAAAATCAAATAGACACACATCTTAATTAAATACATTTAATTTGAACTTTATATTAATCTAGACCTATAATACTAATTATGGCCTATAACTTGGGATAACAAAGTACTTGGACTAGATTTAGCGCATGCGCACACTGTGCTGTGAGTTTTCTCTCGCTGGTTGACAAAAGAACGCAGGCGGGCTAGCGATGTTTGTAATTTGCATATATCTTCGCTCACAGGCGATCATTTTAATGCGATTGGCCTCTTTTTATTTTATAGGCCTAATTAATTGTATTTGATAGGCTAACTTTTCTGGTTGACAAAACTAAGCGAGCGAGATGTCTGTCACGTGCACTGCCCGTGACGCTGTTTAGAATGTATTTCTCGCTAACTTGATGAATTTGAATGCTATTGCAGTGTTTTTTAAAAATAAATCAAATACTTACAAATCTTTACATTTTAAACTGAGCATAGACAAAACTTTGTAACTAACACACCTGTCCCAAGTCAAGTGAGAGAAGAGGGTTAGATTAATTTTACAATGACATCGCTATATTTTATGAATTGCCCTAATTAAGCATTGCTTAAACACTTACACTAGTTAATAAAACATGCATGGGATTGAATATCTTTAAAAAGATTAGATCTATACTATATATTCTTGAACATGTTTTTCATTAATTTGAATTTAGTTTTCCTTTTTAAACACCCTTCCATTTAAAAAAAAATTAAATAAAAATATTTAAAAATTCTAGATCTAGATCTAATTCCATTATGTGATTTTTTATTCTGACGAAGACAGTGTCCATACGAATAGAAATGTGGTAATAAAATCAAATGTACTGTGCATATTCTGCTAAAATCAAATCAGCTGCAAGGTCAACCCTGCAGAGTTCGTCTCTTCAGAAAAGCATAGGCGATCTGGTTGTCACGGATTATTTGGCTTGCAATGCTTGGAGTGGCCAATTAATAAAAATCAGTAATTAAGCTCCAAATGAGTTTATTTTCAACAAATTAAGTATTTGATTGATTAGAGATTGATCTCTAGTTTCCATTGGTAATGTTTAAATCGAAAAATAACGAAATTTAAAATTAGTGAGTATCTCTAGTATAGGACAGGGGATGATATTTCGAGTCGACCCTTTGAATCCCGGTCAGATCGTCCCCCCGTCGTGGCCTCAACCAACCGGCGGGCTTGTTGCATTGAGTTAAATATAAACTCAAAACAATAATATAAACAATCTCCTTTCAGTAGGTCAGGCCACATACCAGGCACGCACAGTGTTGTGTGTCGTGCCTTAACCAAAATAAACTATCTCCCTTCATTATCATTAGATATATTTAATTAGTTAATTAATTAATTAATTTGCTAATTTATAAAATTATGTATGATGCTATAGCAATAGGTAAGTTACGGTAAGTATAATTTTTTTAACTATGTATTTGTACTATAAAGAAACAGCTTCGTTGTTTCAATACCACCCTCTCCCCTTCTTGAACTTAAAGTTAAACTTTTAACCCCGTTCGTAGAGACGTGCGGTATGCTGTAAGGCGGCAGGTGGGTAGGGTATATACTCATTGAAGAAAAAATCCACCGCGGTGCGTGTTATTGGCCTTGGGCCTTCGGTGACGTTGTTGGCGTTTGCTGTGAGGGGGAGAGGGGTGTGTGTTATATCCGTTTAAAAAAAATCGCAACATGGTATTGGCCTATGATGACGTCTGCGCAAGCGGGGAGGGGGGGGGGGACACTTTTTTTTTAAAAACCAAGAACTAGGCGTTTAAAGGCTTAATGAAAATCTAGGACTGGTATAGCTATGAGGTCGAATTTAACGAGTGATGCTTGCTGGGTCTATCGTACGATTGCTTCGCGATGGGAATCTCGTCAAGCTCAGTTTACATTATTAACAGTGAACTATTGGGATGCTGTCATGCACAAAGTAACAGCTACCAAATGTAGCACTTAAAACATCGAGTGCATCCCGCTCATTATAAATTTGAAATACAAGTTATGGATTGTCCAAAAACTTGAAGGACTGCCAGAATATATGCATTGTATTATAACATTATTCATTACGATATAACTAAAATGTGTATCCAAATATTTTTAGGCTAACGGGATCTGCATTTAAATAAACAAGACCTATTAGGCTACTTTTGCATGATAGCACAACTACATTTTTAGATTTCATAATGAGAAGCCTAGTCGTGCATTAAATGGCTGTACTCAATAACAATGAAAAAAATGAAATGCCGGCTTCAAACTTCAAGCTATGATTTCCCAGTATTCTTCTACTAGAATTATAGCTCCGTTGTTTAAATGACCTCGCCCTCCTCCTCTCACCTAGTTCAATTTAAAGTTACACTTTCAACCCCGTTAGGATGCGTGAACTACTGATGACATAACTATTGAAAAAAAACTGTTCTGGTGTTAAATTGCCCTCCCCTACTCGCAGCCCTTAACTTTGGGGCCATACACACCAGGAAGGTCTAGGTCGGTGTTGTATCTCGTGCAAATTTACTCACAACACGACTACACACTATGGTTGTATCCAGGACTAAAGCTGCGACACTCGCATAGAGTTGGATTTATTCGTTAGATCATTGTGCTTCAAATTCTGTTTCAATATTGGGATTAGATGGATATAATGTTAGAATTCTGTTAGTTTGTTATATTATATTGATCTAAATGTCGTGTACCATCAGAAACTAAATTGGTTGACAAGACACATGTGTAGGCTAAAGAATGACCTCTAGATCGAGCCAAAGATGGCTGGTTAAGGTTGATAAACTGTGGTTTTCAAATTTCATGGTGATGCTTTTCTAAAGGATTTTATTTTGTGCTTTCTTTGGGATTATTTTGTGTGATGTGATTATTCAGAAGTAATTTGTAAGTAGTATGCTTTTCACATCCAACCATTTTAAGACTTGGCGATTGATCTGCGGCCGGGCTGATTAATTTACATTTAGCGAAACTACACTCTACACGGCGCCCTCAGGCCGTTGTTTCATCATGCCCTACTAGTCAATTATAGACGACTTTAGAATCAACACAAGAAGCCAAAACACTGATTTTTATTTAATAATCTTCAAAAGCCTATAGGATCGTTATTTTCACGAAATTGTCGTTTTCCATTTTGTTGTCAAGAAACTGGTATTTAGTTCACGAGAACGTATGAAAACCACTCATGCGTGACCGAAATCGTCGATTGGGTGCCTTCACGTGGTTTGACACGTGTTGACCTAGGCCATTGTTTACATCCAAAAATCACCCAAAACAGCCTTTTTTCGAAAAATTTGTTTGAAAAAATGGCTAAGTCCAGTTTTAAAAAGTGTCATTTTCGGGCCCATTTTAAAAAACGTAAAAAAATCCGAACTACACGTAGAAAAAATGGCTTTTTCGGCCCTTTTTAGCTCCAAAAACGCGTTGCGTGACGTCACCGTGACGTCAGCCGCCAACCAAAACGCGGAGAAAGCGCGCGTTTGATTGGTTGGCGGCTGACACTATGAAATCCTCTAGGGACGATTCGGAAGGTATACCAGGACAGGATTAGGGTTGGTGTTAGTTAGGGTTCTACGGTTGTAAAAACACGCATGCGCAGTACCATGGAAAACATCGCCGCGATGACAAGTCATAGTTTCTCTCAATTGCGCATGTGTATCTTATTCCGGCTAGCATGGGCCTAAAATTTATTATTTTATTTTTAAAAATCTACAAAAAATACAAGATAGCCTATCTAATTAATTACGAAGTGACTACTCGGAAGAAGATTTTTCTCCCCAATGTATCACTTAGTTGGCAAAAGATAGCTCTGCACATGCGCAGTGACCTAGAGTTAGGGCTAGAATGAGGGTTATGGGTAGGATTAGGGATAGGATTAGGGTTAAGGATAGGACTAGTTGGTGTTAGAGTGTTAGGGTTCTGTGGCTGTAAAGACACGCATGCGCAGTACCATCGAAAACATGGCCGCGAAGTCAAGTCGTAGTTTCTCTCCATTGCGCATGCGTATCTTATTCCGGCTAGCATCGGCCAATTAATTATTAGGCCTATAATTATATTATCAATATGATTATCTAGATTCTGATTTAGCCTACCTACTAGTACTAGATCTAGATTATTCTAGATCTATCAAAGTCTAATGACAGAGTGGTGAGCATGCCCAATGGGCCAGAGCAAGAATAGTCTCAAAGGTATTCGAGAGGCCCATAAAATATTTTTATGATCATGCGAGGCGTAATTAAAATTAGGCCAATTCTAGTCGGAAAAACATATGCATGCACGATTTTCCTTCGCGTTGATGTTTTCAAAGGTACTGCGCATGTGTGCGTCGTGTGTTTACATAAAAACCGCAGATCCCTAGCTCAGCTATTAAGCCAATTAAGGTCACGAGTTCCTATGTTTTTCTTACAAAACGGAAAGATCCGGTTATAACTTAGGCTTGATGAAAATAAATAATAAATAGAAATGTAGCCTTAAACTAAAAAAAAATTATTTTAAGGTGCTCTGGATTTGCAAATTTTATAACTTTGATTCTAAAAAAATTAAATTGCTGAATTATTTTTAGGCGTAAGTTTTTATTTTTATTATTTTTATTACGGCAGCCATAAAGTCAAAATTTAAAAAAAAATGAATTTTATCCTTGTCAGCAATATGATAGAAGGATTCTCATCAACTCTGTGGCCTCCATTACCAATGAGTTTGCATGGAAACTAAAGTTTTATACCAGTGTCAGATAATACTGTATAATAGAATCTTCTTAAAGAAAGGATATTAGAACTGATAGCTAACTAAATATTATGGGTTTGCTAAGGTCAATACTAACCCTAGTCCTATCAATCATATGCCTAACCCTAATTTCTAACCATAAAACTAGTCAAGATTACAATACAACTAGCAACTTAACACACCTATTTTATCCTCAATCATCCCCAGTTTTAGTTTGGAACCAACCTGCACTAGATTTTTTAAAAAATTTCATTAGTACCCAGATGCCAGAGTTATGACTAATGACCACAATATTTTGTTTGCATCTTATATGAGCAACCAAACCAACTTATAATTTGTTCTCTAAATTTGGAGTTGATTAACTTTGTTTGAGGTTAGCCCAGGCTTAGTTTCATATTTTGTTCTTTATTTCAGTTTCTAAAACAATGGCAATATTTTCACAATTTGATGCAGACATTTCAACTACAGCCAGCCAAATACAACGAGAAACTTGATGAAATGATCACCTTCTTGTCTCACGTATGTGCTGTTTACACATTTTATTGAGCACATCTGTGTGAAAAACTTAGTATTAAATAAACTTTGGAGGTGTGTGAGTTCAGTGAATGTGTTGTCGTGTGAATGTGTGGTCATGTGAATGTGAGGTCATGCGAATTTGAGGTAATGACTTTAAAACACTTGCAGGTCAGCCATTGCTACAAGGAAGAAGTGGTGGACATGCCTGGTCAGTTTTGTGACATCCTCAAGAACCACAGCACAGTCCTGGACAGAACCATGAGGATGGTATGTTGGTTGGTCATAGCATTGTAGCAGAGCTAGTTTGTCATCAGGGCAGAGTTGCTAGTTTAGGCTTGTCATTGTTGCTTATTGAGATTTTCACAGGGAGATAGACAAAAGAGAGAATTCTGAAATGTCTTATGTACGCTGACAAACTTTTCCCCTATTCCAGCTTGTTACTTGCCAACAAAAGTAAGATTAGTTTTTTTTTCAATTCCAGACATTAGTGAAGGCTCTTATAATGCTGCGCAACAAGGAACTGATAACAGCCACAGAGGTCCTGCAGCTGTTCTTCAAACTGTTGCGCTGTGAGGACAAGCTGTTGCGCAAAACAATTTACCAGTACGTGGTGGCGGACATCAAGAACGTCAACTCCAAACACAAGAACGCCAAGCTGAACTCTGCGCTGCAGTCGTACATGTTTTCCATGCTGCAGGAGAACAGCGCTGTCACTGTCAAAACTGCGTTGGACATCATGATCGAGCTGTACAGGAGAAATGTTTGGAAGGATGCTAAAACTGTCAACGTTATTGCTACTGCATGCTTTTCTAAGATTACAAAAGTTATGGTGGCTGCGATGAAGTTTTTCTTAGGTAATTACTGGCCTCATTAGTGTTGTTATATTTTGTATATTTAGGAGCTGGCATTAGTGCATGATATAGTAGATCAGACACACTCATCTTTTAAAGGAAAACTAAACAATCAGTTAATAGTAAGAAGGTAAAGATATACTTGCTTGATCCTATGGGTACAAAGTTCAAATCCAGGCCATAATACTGATCAAGTAAGGGTAGTAATGGACAGCTAGCCCCAAAAGATCTCTAGATGTAGCACAACATGGTTGGCTATCATTTCTGATTTGAGAACACTACTTAGTGCATCTAGATATTCAAACTTCCATTGTTCTACAAACTTCTATTGTTCTACAAACTTCCATTGTTCTACAAACTTCCATTGTTCTACAAACTTCCATTGTTCTACAAACTTCCATTGTTCTACAAACTTCTATTGTTCTACAAACTTCTATTGTTCTACAATCTTCCATTGTTCTACAAACTTCCATTGTTCTACAAACTTCCATTGTTCTACAAAATGTTTCTCTCAATTCTTGCAGGCAAAGACGAGCTGGAAGAGAAAGAAGAGAGTGACTCTGATGAAGACAACTTGCCCAAGAAGTCAGTCAAGGAGCTAGCACTGGGCCACAGAGTGGGTAAAAAGACAAAGAAGAGAAAAAAGAAGCTGGACAGGGCCCTGCAGGCCATAGAGAAACACAAGAAGAAGAAAAGTGTCCCAGAGGCTTTCAACTACTCCGCTATGCACCTTATCTTTGACCCCCAGGAGTTCAGCGAGAAACTGTTTCGCCAACTGGAGAAGACCACAGAGAGGTTTGAGGTCAAGCTGTTGATGGTTGATTTGATTTCACGCCTCATCGGCTTACACAAGCTGATCCTGCTCAACTTCTACCCATTCATGAAGCGCTTTATACAGCCCCATCAGAGGGAGGTTAGTGTTAATTGCTCTGTGGTGGCTAATATTTGTTGTACACTTGTTTATTCTTTAATTGGTTAATGAGAGGTCATGTGTGCTGACCTCTAGCTCAGAGGATGGCTGTGTGTTATATGGACTAGCCAGTGACAGCACTAGGTTTATACCAGTCAAACACAAAAATAATCACAATACAACTCACAAATTAAATATCCATGTCCTCTACCCCATCTACATGCAGCCAAGTTGTCTAAAATAGAATTCCCCACCCTTGACAGGTGACTCGTTTACTGCTGTACCTGGCTCAGGGCAGCCATGAGTTAGTTCCCCCTGACACCATGGAGGAGGTGCTGATGACCATCGCCAACAACTTCATCGCTGAGCGCAACTCCAGCGAGGTCATGGCTGTGGGGCTCAACGCAGTCCGTGAGATCTGCCTGAGGTGTCCGCTGGCCATGTCAGAAGATTTGCTGCGAGACTTGGTCCAGTACAAGCTGCACAGAGACAAAGGTAAGACAGCTGTGGATTTCTTTCATTACTTGAGTATTTCCTTAAAATGTTGGTCTTTTTATTGTTTAAATAATTTATTTATTGCAACCACTTTGTTTGTCTTGTAGCTGTAATGATGGCAGCCAGGTCCTTAGTGCAGCTCTTTAGGAAAACAAACCCAGAGCTCCTACACAGGAAAGACAGGGTGAGTCCATGTTGGGCTGAGATAGAAGAATTTTAATGTAAACTGTTTAGCTTCTTTTACATTTGTATTTGCTCTACTTTTATTTTCTTCTTCAGTCAACATTTGTGTTATAACCCTGTATATGTCTTTTTGAAATTCTAGGGTCGACCAACAGAAGCACAGAAAGAGCTTCAAGTCATGAATTACGGAGCTCAGGACGCTAAGTCTTACGTACCTGGAGCTGAGATCATACCTGAGAGAGAAGAAAAACAAATGGAGATCAGCAAAGGTCAAGGTAACACAAAGCTGTTCTGGTTGTTGCTGCTTTGTGTAGCTGCTATTCTTGTTGTTGCTGCTGTGTGTAGCTGCTGTTCTGCTGTGTGTAACAGAACTGTTTACAACCCCAATGCACAACTCTTGACCTAGGTGTCTTGTTAACTATTATAAACAATTTATAAATGGCTTAGTTGACATCCTCAGTGTTGTGGATGCTTTATGGACTCATACTTAAGTACATTAACCCAGTGTAGCAGTTTAATTTTTTTTCAATTGCCTGAAAGAGACAAACATGACACAATTTTATTTTTGTTCACAGAAGAGTGGGAGTCCTGTAGTGAAGAGGAGGATGGGAGTGATGGGGAGTGGGTGGATGTTTACCACTCTTCAGATGAGGAGCAACAAAAGGTGGGTCTCCCAGTTTTAGATGGTCTTGAGCTTGACTTCTCTAGTATTTGTTTACACCACTTAGATGCTCTACTCTTAGAGTTAGGTTTACTTCTTGGGTTAGAGTTTTGTTATCAGCAATACCTGGTCAAGATATCTAACTGCTTTAGTTCTGGCTTAGTGTAAAATAGCAGACCAAATGATAAACAATTTGTAATTTGCTATTCAAATTTGTTGTAGTCACATTTTGAGTCATCTGACAACCTTTCAGACAAATGTTAAAATGTTTTCAACCTTTCAGACAAAGGTTAAAATGTTTTCAACCTTTCAGACAAATGTTAAAATGTTTTCAACCTTCAAACAAATGTTAAAATGTTTCAGACAGAAGAGCAGGAGACGCCAGCTGAAGTAGAGGAGAAGACAAAACTAGCAGAAGAGATCTCAGCCTCTAGAATAATGACAGACGAGGACTTTAAGCTGATCCAGGCCAGGCAGGTGTCCAAAGAAATCACGTCAGCGTCTGCTGCCAGGGCCAGGAAGAGGAAGATACAAGAGACGTCTGGTGCTGACAACAAGTAGGTCCAGTTTTATCTGGCTGGGTCCAGTTTTATCTGGCTGGGTCCAGTTTTATCTGACTGGGTCCAGTTTTATCTGGCTGTAGGTCCAGTTTTATCTGGCTGTAGGTCCAGTTTTATCTGGCTGTAGGTCCAGTTTTATCTGGCTGTAGGTCCAGTTTTATCTGGCTATGGGTCCAGTTTTATCTGGCTGTGGGTCCAGTTTTATCTGGCTGTAGGTCCAGTTTTATCTGGCTATGGGTCCAGTTTTATCTGGCTGTGGGTCCAGTTTTATCTGGCTGTAGGTCCAGTTTTATCTGGCTATGGGTCCAGTTTTATCTGACTGTAGGTCCAGTTTTATCTGGCTGTAGGTCCAGTTTTATCTGGCTGTAGGTCCAGTTTTATCTGGCTATGGGTCCAGTTTTATCTGTAGGTCCAGTTTTATCTGGCTGTAGGTCCAGTTTTATCTGGCTGTGGGTCCAGTTTTATCTGGCTGTAGGTCCAGTTTTATCTGGCTGTAGGTCCAGTTTTATCTGGCTATGGGTCCAGTTTTATCTGACTGTAGGTCCAGTTTTATCTGGCTGGGTCCAGTTTTATTTGGCTGTGGGTCCAGTTTTATCTGGCTGTAGGTCCAGTTTTATCTGACTGTAGGTCCAGTTTTATCTGGCTGTAGGTCCAGTTTTATCTGGCTGTAGGTCCAGTTTTATCTGGCTGTAGGTCCAGTTTTATCTGACTGTAGGTCCAGTTTTATCTGGCTATGGGTCCAGTTTTATCTGGCTGGGTCCAGTTTTATCTGGCTGTAGGTCCAGTTTTATCTGGCTGTAGGTCCAGTTTTATCTGGCTGTAGGTCCAGTTTTATCTGGCTGTAGGTCCAGTTTTATCTGGCTGTAGGTCCAGTTTTATCTGGCCGTAGGTCCAGTTTTATCTGGCCGTAGGTCCAGTTTTATCTGGCTGTAGGTCCAGTTTTTTCTGACTGTAGGTCCAGTTTTTTCTGACTGTAGGTCCAGTTTTATCTGGCTGTAGGTCCAGTTTTATCTGTGGGTCCAGATTTATTTATCTGTGATGGTCATTGTTTTATTATTCTATTACCTGAAAATTTACTCTAAAGAATATTTTTTGAAATACAGAAGCACACTTTGCTGTTTCTTTATAAACTGAGTTAATAAAACAGTATTGTTGATTCCCTCCCCTTGATTAATGACGTGATAGAAATTTTGATGTAATACGCATGGCATATCTTGTAAAGGCAGATTTTCTTGACTTACATGAACTGCCCTGTGTGTACATGTTGATTTACTTTTTGTTAATTCCCTTTACATAATCTCCCCTATGTAATATGTTGATGTACAACTGTGTTAACTCCCCTCACGTGACCTCCCCTGTGTATTACAGCAGTGACTTGCCCAAGCTGGGGGATATAGAGATGGTTCACAAGAGAAAGGCACACGACAGGGACTCTAGGCTGGCCACAGTCATGGTAAGTTGTGGGAGGGCCCTCAATGTTTGGCCACAGTCATGGTAAGTTGGGTTGTGGTATGGCCCTCAATGTTTGGCCACAGTGATGGTAAGTTGGGTTGTGGGATGGCCCTTAATGTAAGTTGGGTTGTGGTATTGTCCACAATGTTTGCCCACAGTGAATGTAAAATGGATTGTGTTATAGTCTACAGAGTCACTGATATTATAACAAACCTTCTATGTCAAACATATAGAAGAAAAGTACTGAGTTTTTACGATGAACCTTGTGTGATCATTCATAAAACAATAATTTTATTTTCTACTTGGAGACAGGCTCATGCCTATTTGTCTGGTATTGAGAATATTTTTTTTTCCTAACATTAACTGTACATTGTTTTTATTTCTGCTGCAGCATGAGCTAATCCTGTACAGTACCACACTTTAACACTTCCATTGTCAGACAAAACATTTGATTCTCTATGAGCTAGAGCTAATCCTCTACAGTACCACACTATAACACTTCCATTGTCAGACAAAACATTTGATTCTCCCCAGGCTGGCAGGGAGGGGAGGGAAAAATTTGCCCATGGCCCCCAGAAAATGAATCCATTTGCTAGCACCACCAACAAGGAGAAAACCAAGAAGAAAGCTTTCACCATGGTCAAACACAAAATTAGAAGGAGAAAAATGAAACGCTCTTTCAAAGATAAACAGGTAGGTCACCAAGCCAGGGATGTGACTTTTCTGATTTTTAGCGGAAATCAGTTTTCCGTTTCAGCTTTAATTTTCCTCAGCTGATTTCCATTTTAGCCACACAAAAAAAAAGTTTTTAAAATTAAGAAAAAAAAAACAGAAATTACCTCTGTGGAAATGGTCGACGTGCATTCCACATTGCTATTTAAATCGAGTATTATAGTACTAATAGCACACTAATACCAGCATTTCTTTTCAATTTTGACAGTTTTAGATTAAGATAAATATAGATCTAGTTCAGAATTTCTGGGAATTTGAGGTAAAAATTGTCAAAAAAGCGCGACATTTTTATGGATGACCAGTAACAATTTACAACTATTCTAAAACATAAATAAGAATGTGGCTTAGTTATCAAAATGGTTAACTTTGGTTCAAATATCATTCACTTTCTAATTTCAGCTAATCTGGTCAATTTCATTTTCCATGACATATACCTAAAACTTTCAAATTACAATTGATCTAAATCTAGTCTCTTTACATCTGAAGTCTTACATTTTTACCATACCGATCTTTAAAAGAATTAAGGCATAATTTAAAATTGAAAACTAGTACAACTGAACTAGATTAATACAGTTTAAATTAGACAAGACTTTCAATGTTATATTATTTTAAATATTAGCTTCCTTAAATAATTAGTGCAGTGAGACTGCTTTAACTGCGATAAAAAAAAAAGTTAGACTTATCGTCCGAAGAAAATTTCCTATTTTTTCCTGGTCTGGTCACATCCCTGCGAAACAGTTGAGTTAGTTTAATTAAATAATTTTGCTTGTGCATATAAAAAGATTTATTTAGCTCAGATTATGACTTGCTCTAGAGACTCAAAAAAAGTGTTACTAAAAATAATTCAATCCATATTCTTTTGTTTAGATTTCACTGCGTAACTCTTTGTTGAAGAGAAGCAAGAATGCAAGGAAATAAATGTATATATTGAGAATAGCAATGAATAAATTATTCAAGAAAAACAGTTGTTACATTTTTTCTTTATATAAAGTCCAATAATATATTATCACAGATTATCATAAAATAACAGTACATGTTTATGTATAGCACACTCAGCCCTCATTTGACAATAATTGTTTGTATAGTCACATGTTATTTACCTCAGAAAAATATTTGTAACAAAGATTCAGTATAAATGTAAGATTAATTTTTACAATTGTAAAATTTACACTACAAAAATAATTTCTTTCTGCTTATATATTTTAAAAAATATAAAAATTAATACAGCACTGTGCATAGTATGCAAAACAAAAATTGCGTGCAAAAAGACAAAATTTCAAGTGATTTAGTTGTTTGTTTTTTTTTTTACAAAAACTTTTTTACATAGTTGAATCATTGTAAAACTTCTAGCAGTACAGAGGTATAAAGGCACGAAACAATATTAAATTATCTTATAATAGATAAACATATTTTTCACATCAAAACAATTGGGTTTTTTTTTTTGTAAATTAAACCCAACCAAATAGCAGTGGCAAAGCTTAGGTTATATATTTAAAGTGAATCATTTTGCAGTCAAGAAATAGAATATCACTTTGGCATTCTCTGAATGGTCTAAAAATAGATTTATAATAAATGCATCTTCTGTTAAGATTGTGCAAATGCTTGGAAAACTAAAAGGACATACTAAATTAACCTGATTCATTGTGTTAGATCAGTGTTGCCAACTCTCCTTGTGATTCAACTTTTTTATCTAAATGTTCCCTTCAATAGAACACTTGTTTAGTACCTTCAGTACCAACTTGTCCAGTGTTGGGGCAATCGTCCAGTATTGGGGCAATCGTCCAGTATTGGGGCAATCGTCCAGTGTTTGGGCAATCGTCCAGTGTTGGGGCAATCGCCCAGTATTGGAAAAACAAAAAGCATAATCCCACAAAACTGCTTAAATACATTCTAAAAGTTGTACAATCTTTTTACAAAAATATCTTAATTATAAAATATTTACCCATTCATCAATAATCTTATATTAAATTGTTCACCTAATTCCGGGCAGCAAAGTGATAACACATGGCATAAAACCTCTAATTTCTTGTGACCCAGGTCTGATAGAAATGTTGGGTGGCCCAGGTTTAATTAGCTGACAGAAATATTGGGTGGCCCAGGTTTAATTAGCTGATAGAAATATTGGTTGGCCCAGGTTTAATTAGCTGATAGAAATATTGGGTGGCCCAGGTTTAATTAGCTGATAGAAATATTGGGTGGCCCAGGTTTAATTAGCTGATAGAAATATTGGGTGGCCCAGGTTTAATTAGCTGATAGAAATATTGGGTGGCCCAGGTTTAATTAGCTGATAGAAATATTGGGTGGCCCAGGTTTAATTAGCTGATAGAAATATTGGTTGGCCCAGGTTTAATTAGCTGATAGAAATATTGGGTGGCCCAGGTTTAATTAGCTGATAGAAATATTGGGTGGCCAAGGTTTAATTAGCTGATAGAAATATTGGGTGGCCCAGGTTTAATTAGATAGAAATATTGGGTGGCCCAGATTTAATTAGCTGATAGAAATATTGGGTGGCCCAGGTTCAATTAGCTGACAGAAATATTGGGTGGCCCAGATTTAATTAGCTGATAGAAATATTGGGTGGCCCAGGTTTAATTAGCTGATAGAAATATTGGGTGGCCCAGGTTTAATTAGCTGATAGAAATATTGGGTGGCCCAGGTTTAATTAGATGATAGAAATATTGGGTGGCCCAGGTCTGATAGAAATATTGGGTGGCCCAGGTTTAATTAGATAGAAATATTGGGTGGCCCAGGTTTAATTAGATGATAGAAATATTGGGTGGCCCAGGTCTGATAGAAATATTGGGTGGCCCAGGTTTAATTAGATGATAGAAATATTGGGTGGCCCAGGTCTGATAGAAATATTGGGTGGCCCAGGTTTAATTATCTGATGGAAATGTTTTACATTGAGTCCAAACTTGGCAGCACTTTGATCCCAGCTGTCCTTTTGATTGGTCCATACTTGGCATCAAGGATCCTTTGATCTTCTCGTATATTTCTGGTTATTAAAATAAAAACTCTTCGTTAACCAGTTTCTGTAATACTGCAAAGTATTCAATATGAATATTTCTACATTTATTATGCCACAGAGAGCCACTACTGACTTGATCTTAACCTCATTACCAGGACGACTAATGGTGTGAACAATTCTGAAGTATATGTTTATTTATTCTAAAGGTTTTTTAGTAAAGTAATTCACACTTAAAATAAACAATTTGCTAAAGCTACAAGAATTTTTCTAGAAAGTTGAATAATTATATGGGTAAGTTAAGGCGTCTGCCAACAACAGACCCTGTATTGCATAGCATGATCTTACCCTCCGCCATCCCTGTATGTCCGTGGACTGTCTCCGGTGACACGAGGAGTGATCCGTGGTGGTGACTCTGGCGCAGTTAGCATGAGTTGTCTTTGCTTTGTCCTTAAATCACCCAGAGTGCCCTTGGTGGCGTTAATCTCTAAAACATATTGTTTTCTCTCATCGTTAGCCTTGTGGTAGGCCTGCCAAAATAATTTAGTTAATCTCTAAAACATTGTTTCCTCTCATTATCTGGTATACCTGCAAAAATAATTTAGTTAATCTCTAAAACATTGTTTTCTCTCATTATGTGGTAAACCTGGGAAAATAATTTAGTTAATCTCTAAAACATTGTTTCCTCTCATTATGTGGTATGCCTGGAAAATAATTTAGTTAATCTCTAAAACATTGTTTCCTCTCATTATGTGGTAAACCTGGGAAATAATTTAGTTAATCTCTAAAACATTGTTTCCTCTCATTATGTGGTATGCCTGGAAAATAAAATTGTATGTCTCAGTCAACAAAATTGACAGACAGCTTCACATTTTCTCTCCACCCCTTTCACCTTGCTGTCCTTTTAAGACATCCTATCATCATATATAAGGCATCCGTATATCGTTTAACATGACGTCACAAGGAAAAATGTACCCTAACATTACAGACATGGAGTAGTACACATTTTTGACAGAAGAATTTAATTTTAAACTCCACTTGTAGTCAGGATTTCTTTTAGACATTTAGCAAAGGAGGGGGTTAAAATATTTTCTACTCAAATATCTTTTCTTTTTGTCCATGGGGTGGAGGGGTTATGTTGAAATATCTGCATGCAGTTCGCCATTGAATGCAGCAGTTAATTAAACTACTCAAATTTGACCTTTGACTCCTGGTCCAGTCTCCACTCCAAGTCTCTCAGCTGATTGTACAAGCTGTTCCTCTCTTTTTCCAAAGCTTTCACCATTTGAGGACTCGCCTACGAAGAAAATTTGTGTTACGGTGAGAGCTGGCAATAGATTCTAATATTTGAATTTCAGTAAGAAACAAATGAGGCAATTTAGTCTAATACAGTGCAATCATTGGAAAATTAATATTTCCATATAAAAAGGAGAAATATTTTTATTCAAATTACGTGAGGCATCAACGAACTGAAATTAAACGAGACTTACATCAGCCAAATCATCGAACACTCTGTTGTCTCGTGGGGATTTGCCAGCTAAAATAAATGAATAAAAATATATATGTAAACTTTAAATGTAATTTATTCATAGGTTAAACAAACACCAATTTTTACAAAAATATATAACAAAACCAAAGAAAATAGTGAAGGATCACTTGTACATCTTCCCCCACCCCAATTTACAAATGTCTCAGTCGTCATAACAACAAAACTACCACCTTCTGCCCAACCTAATTTACAGCTAACTCAGCCACCATATGATGTGTCAACAAAACTCCTACCATCTTTTAAATTCCTTTTGAGGTCTTCAATTTTTTCTTGCTGGACCAAACATTGTTTTTCCAGCTGTTGATTCATCTCTGTCTGTGTCTCGTATCTAGTTTTCCACTCATTGCCTGAAGTATGAAATGTGAGAAATATTGCTTGAAGTATGAAATATGAGAAATATGCTACGGTTAAATAAGTTAACAGGACACAGTTTGAGCAGTCCATAACTTGACCCAGCTAAAAGTCTCAAGCCCAGACCATACACTGTGTCCATCAAGCTCTGATGTGTCCCTGACTCTACTCAGAGTGTCAAGGAGAGTGTCAAGCATACAATTAGCTAAAGAAAACAGATGTTGACCCAGTTAGCTGAAGTGTGTCTTCTGCTGCAAGACCTTTCCAAACTTAAGTTCACAAATCAAAAGACTAAGAAAAATGGTTCTTCTACCTTCATTTTCAATTAAGTCGTATCTTTTATCCAGCTCTTGAATCATTTCTTTTAATTCAGATGTGGACTGATCTAGCATTTCCCTGAAAATAAAACATTCACAATTCAGCCCATTAGGTAACTTTCTAGATAGCTTATCACGATGATATTCTATGTTTTAAAGGCCTTACCTACACATTTATTTTTTAGCGCAATTTCCATTCTGGAGAATTGCGTTTATTAACCCGTCATTTCTGGATGTATGAATGGATGGATGGATGGATGGATGTGTGTCCGCAGCTTTAAGTCGTATCTCCTCCTCAACGAAGCAATATCGATGACTAGTTCCAAAAGCAATTATGTTAAGCAAGTTACGAGGATGAACATAGGCCATAAAAATTCCGGGTTTCTTTCATGGATTTCCCGGAAAAGCCAAAAAAGCTCGGAAAAAAAACAGTTTTTGACCCATATCTCGGCAACCAGACCACTTAGCGACTTGAAACATGTACCAATCGATTCCTGCCATAATTTAGAACAATATTGCCGAAGAAAGTTTTCAAAAATATCCTTTCGTTCGGTCACAAATTTTTTTTTGAATTAATTAAAATTTGGACCGAATTAGTAGGCATTTTTTCCAACCACACCACACGCGTCATCACGTTCAATAGCTGCGCCATCGCGTTCCATGGCTGCGCCATCACGTTCAGTAGGCGCGCAATGGTTTTTAGTCATGTAACTCTATTGTAAATAAAACATGTAAAATACTGAAAAATAAATGGATAAAAAAAGTTTTAATAACTAACCAATGGTTTTACTAACCCTGCTCTTGATTTACACTACGACAGAGCTATTTTTAGATAACATAAGGAAATTGCGCTAAAATTGTCACTAGACTTTTTAATTAACTTGTATTCACATGTAAACGCTTTATTGATTACATTTTTGAAAATTAATAATCATCGTTACAGAATAATCAATACACAGTATTCAATGAAAATTATTTCATTTATAATATAAATTATTATAAAATACACAAATACTTATATAGATGTATACAAGAATCAAGGTTTTTAAAAAGCCTGTGTTCTAGAGCTGTAGCTAGTAAAAAATAAATAGTAAGTTTACTGTAGACTTGCTGTTCTGCATTTATAGTATTTTATAGTGCAGGCCACTTGGACTATATGCTACTATGCGACTACTTACTATAGTACTATCTATAATTAAATACTTGTTACATTTTACAGCAGTCATACACTTCTTATAGGCTATGATACATCTATATTTTATTAGATAGTTTAGATGATACAGGTAGCTATCATTGACAGTAGACTATAAGCCTACTACTACTACAGTTGTCTGTTATAGTCTTATAGTGGGCCTATGACCTATAATAATTTCAGAAAATACCATAGTTACTAGTAGTATGGTATAGCTATACAAATAGTATAGAATGTGAGTATAAAAAACTAGATCTATAGTTTACTATGAATTCTACAATAGAAGTAGATAGAGATTAGTTTGTTAGATCTAGAGTCTAGAGACCTGCCAGAAACAGTCACAACAGCAGACATATTATTTTACTACACCTAGGCCAGGTCTACATTTAATTAAATTTATAGTAAGTAAAATATAAATTACTAGATCTATCAGTAATTTCAGTTGGTAACCGATAGTCTGATAGACCTAGAGACTCGTAGATCTAGTAGTAGTAGCTTTAGAATTTTCGAGTTCGTTGAACAGAGACTGACATAAACAAGAGGCTTGAATTTGCTAACAAAACTAGACCACTCAAGTCTAGTAACTAGGTCTATAAGTTTATACTACTTAAATACAAAATACAATCGTAAAGTAAAAACACTAAATACTTCATTTGTCTTTCTTGTTGTAATTCAGCACGGAGCTTTTCAAGCTCAAATTCACTAACGTTCGACATTTTCAAGCTCTGTACTGATGTGTAAACGTTGCTATGTTTTCTGACGTCACGAGTAAAAAGTAATCGAAAATGTGGCCTTTTAATGGTTCTTTCTTATATCGTTTCGATTGATTTATTTTTACATAAAATAGTTTTTTTTTAATTGCATCTATTCGAATAATAGCCGAAAATGTATACTAATATTTAATGTATTTACAAAATATTAAAGAAGCGTTCTATTCTGATGTTTCTCCCACAATACAAAACTAAATAGACATCAAAGAGGTCTAGTAATTTGTAATTGTAATATGCTAATTAAATGAGTTCTACGAAACTGTAATTAAACAATTATATTTATTAGTAGTTTTGAACAAAAATTAAATTAACGAAAAACTCACTTGTATTTAAATTCTTCCTCTATTTTATTCGGTTCGTATTCCTCTTCTTCGTCGTCCTCTTCGTACTCCTCCGAGTAAGCCCTCCTAATCCTCCCAACCTCCTCCTCCTCATGATCTGAATATCTGTCGTACTTGTGATCCTGACTGGCTGGGTGACGTTGTGTCTTCTGGCCGATTCTGTCCCGCAGAGTTCTCAAACTGCGGTCCTTCCCTTCATCGTCGTCATCATCATCATCGTCGTCATCGTCTACTTTAGAGGACGCAACTTGTGGTTTCCTAGTTTTTCTCACATCACGGTCACTTCTTTCATCGTCCTTATCATCGAACACAGCAGAATCTGTTTGAGTTTTCTTTACTTTCCTCATCACATTGTCAGTTTTTTCATCTGCGTTTTCTTTCAACACTTGGGCATAGGGTTTTCTTGATTCTCTTGAATCTCGATCACTACAATCACCAAACACAGCAGAATCGGTATAAGCATTTCTGGTTTTTCTTGTACTTCCATTATTTCTGTCGTCATCCTTTTCATCGAATGAATCTGTAAATGTTTTCTTTGATTTCCTCATCCCGCGGTCATTTCTTTCATCGTCGTCATCATCATCATCCTCTAACGCAGCAGGCACGTGGTAGGGTTTCCTCACTCTCCTACTCATGCTGTGGCCTAGCCCTAAATTATCCTCAAAATACCCTTACAAAATATCCGCTGAAAGTTTTTTTTTAACGACACCCACTAATTTCTGATACTGCCCACTGTTATGACACTGACCACTACCGTCTGACACTGACCACTACCGTCTGACACTGACCACTACCGTCTGACACTGACCACTACCGTCTGACACTGACCACTACAGTCTGACACTGACCACTACCGTCTGACACTGACCACTAACGTCTGACACTGACCACTAACATCTGACACTGACCACTAACGTCTGACACTCACCACTAACGTCTGACACTGACCACTAACGTCTGACACTGACCACTAACGTCTGACACTGACCACTACCGTCTGACACTGACCACTAACGTCTGACACTGACCACTACCGTCTGACACTGACCACTAACGTCTGACACTGACCACTACCGTCTGACACTGACCACTAACGTCTGACACTGACCACTACCGTCTGACACTGACCACTAACGTCTGACACTGACCACTACCGTCTGACACTGACCACTACCGTCTGTCTGACACTGACCACTAACGTCTGACACTGACCACTACCGTCTGTCTGACACTGACCACTAACGTCTGACACTGACCACTATCGACCACACAACTGTTCACTGGCCCAGGTGTACAGCTGTGTGTATGATGGATGCTGCTGTCTACCAATGCCTGAGTGGTTGTAGGCGTTGCCGTAGCAACTCATCACCACACGAAGACGCTGTCATTGAACAAAATCCAGTGGTATTTACAGTAGAGGGAGAGGCTGGGGGAAATCAATTCTCGTCATCGATCTCATCGATCTGGGTGATTTGTCTGACAACATTTGGTTATTTGCAAGTGGGAGAGAAGCTTCGTTATGTTGTCTTGTCCCGATTGTAGGAAAAAAAAAGTCACAGGAAAAAAAAAAACACAGGAAAAAAAAAACACAGAAAAAAAGTCACAGGAAAAAAAGTCACAGGAAAAAAAGTCACAGGAAAAAAAGTCACAGGAAAAAAAGTCACAGGAAAAAAAGTCACAGGAAAAAAAGTCACAGGAAAAAAAGTCACAGGAAAAAAAGTCACAGGAAAAAAAGTCACAGGAAAAAAAGTCACAGGAAAAAAAGTCACAGGAAAAAGTCACAGGAAAAAAGTCACAAAAATCTTTTTAGAAATATTTTTATTAATTTGATAAAAATTGTAAAATTTTGTATGTTTTATAAAATTTTTCCACTGTGAATTTTTTTCTGTGACTTTTTTTCCTAGCAAAAACTGTGACTTTTTTTCTGTGTTTTTTTTTCCTGTGACTTTTTTTCCGTTCACCCTTGTCCCAGGCTGTTTCGACCGAGGATGTTTAACTACATAACGTCTCGGTATAGCCTATTTTATCAATGTCTACACTTCTATGTTATTTATTTTAGAAAATATTGGTTTTCGAAAATGGCACTTTTTGAAAATCAGTTTTTTACCAAATTTTCTTTTTTTAAAAATCGCATAACTTTTTTATTTTTTGAGATATTTTTATAAAATTTGTGTCATAGAGCTTACAATTAAAAGTTCTTTCATGACATACTCACTACAGAAGTCTGCAATCAATAGTTAATTTCAGTTTGGACAACCTACTATAGGCTGCCTTGATATAGGCTGTCTCGTCTTGATCTGTCTAAACACTAACTGTCTCATCCTCCAGTAATGTTGGTCAGCCACTATTTGTATCGACAGACGGTGACAGGCTCTCCGGATGGCACCACCAACCTCTCCGGATGGCACCACCCCACTCTCCGGATAGTACCCCACTCTCCGGATGGTACCGCTCCCCGTAAAGTCGGAACGTTGACAGCGAGACCCAGCAGGAAACCAATAGCTCGCCGTGTCTACGTCATCCAACTACATCAATTGTTGAGTGGTCCCTGGTGGCGTGTACTGTTTGTCGGGGACACGTTTATTGACGGGCTGTTTGCTGGTACAGGGGGGGGGGGGGGCAGACACGAGGGTACGGTGGCCAGACACGAGGGTAAGATGGCCAGATAGTACAGTGGCCAGTACGATGTACAGTGGCCAGACACGAGGGTACGGTGGCCAGACACGGGTGGCCAGTACGATGTACAGTGGCCAGACACGGGTGGCCAGTACGATGTACAGTGGCCAGACACGAGGGTACGGTGGCCAGACACGAGGTTACGTTGGCCAGACACGGGTGGCCAGTACGATGTACAGTGGCCAGACACGGGTGGCCAGTACGATGTACAGTGGCCAGACACGGGTGGCCAGTACGATGTACAGTGGCCAGACACGAGGGTACGGTGGCCAGACACGAGGTTACGTTGGCCAGACACGGGTGGCCAGTACGATGTACAGTGGCCAGACACGGGTGGCCAGACACGAGGGTACAGTGGCCAGACACGAGTGGCCAAGCACACAAGTAAAGTGGCCAGACACGGGTACGAGGCCAACTGGTACAAGTATGGCCCATCATGGCTCCAACCAACCCGTACCTTCACCCCCCTTGCATGTAAGACACGGGGTGTGTGAGGGAGGGGGGGGCTTTACGTCGATCATTGAGCTCATCGATCTCATCGAGTGATCAAAGCCACACATTTCGTTTGATGACAGTGTAAGCTTTAGAATTTAATGAAAAGACCCCCCCCCCACACCCCACACACCATCCCACTTACAATTTATTAGGACCAACTGAGAAAAATCCATGGTTCTACTGCATGCTTGTGACGTTCTGATTACACCTGAAATAGGTAAAGCTAGGTCTAGATCTAGATGTTCGACATCTGAGGTGTCAATGTTGAACACCTCGTCACGCCGCTAAAGTCACGCCGCTAAAGTCACGCCGCTAAAGTCACGCCGCTGAAGTCACGCCGCTGAAGTCACGCCGCTGAAGTCACGCCGCTGAATACGGTACACAATGACCAAATTAGTCCGACAACCTCGACTAGACGCAAAGTCAAATTTGACCCGTTTTAACCGACAGTTGAAGCTGAAGCCAAAGAATGGGATGGTGTCGGTGTTTATTAGAGTGGGGGGGGGGGGGTCAGAAAGTGTCGATGTTGTGAGGGGAGGGGCTAGAGGGAGAGGTGTTTTAAAACTTGACCTACAGTAGAAATAATAAATTACTTTCTCCGCGGAGACAGGTGCCATCGGCCGAATAGACGACACCGTTTCATTTTTTTTTTAATTACACAATTAAATTGGTCACTCAGATATTCCTCCCCCCCCCCCCCCCCCCCAATATATCACATAGAAAACCTATCTAACAGGTGAGAAGATACAATCTAAAGTGTGATTAGCTATTTATAACTCAAAATGACACTTTGGGGTTCTCCAGTCGGCAAGGTCAAGGCCAGTCAGACTGGAGTCTGTCAGAAGACAACAAGCGCGCGCCACGGGTTAGAGTGCAGTGACGTCAGTGTCACTTACCAAAACAGCTGTCACTAAGTAATCTAACTTATGGAGATGGCCGACTGATGCTTGGGGGGGGGGGGGGGGGGGCAAGGATATGTGGCAGACAGGATATTGATGGAGGAGAGGTTGGGAGAAAAGATGGAGATAAGGATATGTAAGGATATGGAGAGAGAGGAAGTAGAGGATGAGAGAGACGAAGAGGGTGGGGAGAGACGAAGAGGGTGGGCGGGGGGAGACGGGAAATGGAGAAGCAATCAAGCAAATGGTGTGATGTCATTTGTTATTCCTGCATGTGCTGGTCAGATGGGGGGTGGGGGGGGGGGGGGATTTGAAGGGATTTCCTGAGTTACTTCCCATTGATGAATACGATTTTAAAAAGGACGAGTCCACTTTTAACATGCAGGGGGGAAAGGGTCAGTCGAACTTACATGAGGTAAATACCCAGCATAAATGTGAGGAGTGTGTGGAAATAGTGGTGTCCAAAGATGAAGAATGTTTTTTTAGCCTAATTTTATTATTGGCTGTTTTCTTCTTTTCTTTCCCCTTAATAACCGATTGCTATTTTCTAAAAGTTCGGTGTCTCCCATTGTTAACATGCTTTCATGACCACTTTATAGATGTGTGACCATAGTGAGTTTATTCAGTGATAAGGGAGGTAGTCGCTATAGTGAAAGTACTTAGTGCTAGGGAATGGGGGGGGGGGGGTTGTTCGTCTAAGTGGATATATTCAGTACTAAATGTGGTCGTACTAGTGGATGTACTCAGTGCTAAGGATGTGATTGTCTCAGAGAGCTAAGGTTGGGTCTTCTTGCTGACTAGAGTCCAGTATGACTGGAACTGATGCCGGTTACACAATTCTCTCCTACAGTCTTCATGTGAGCATTAGACGATTTGTCATGTGCTATAAAGAAAACATAACTCCAGTTAAACATGGGTTGATAAAATACTTCTTGTCTCCCTTGGCTTGCTAAAAAAAAAAGCCCACAGTTCAACGCTCGAGGACGGCAACATCAACATTACATAAATTACGTCCCTTGTGACAAAAATAATTGTCACGTGATTGATACAAGCCCAAATATTTACATTTGAAGCCAGCGAGTGTCGTGACATCAGCTGTCATCTCGGTACATCCACCAGTTCGTGTTTACACAACGTACCCCCCCCCCCCCCCAGCCACCTCAGCTATCTGGGTCAGCTGACAAAGTCACCTCCATGGGTACCCATTGAGTGATACGTGGGCTTTAACAGTCACCTTTGTTGTCCTGTGTGTCACCATCACCTTTGTAACTGCTGATGCAACCATTAAGGTTTATCAGGAAAATGTACCAGATTTTATACATACACATACATAAGGGAACTTTGGCTAAGCCAATTTCCCTACATATTTTAATTTATTTAGACCTAGCCACCAGTCTGTTAATCAAATTAAGAACTTTCTACCGGCCCCTACACCCAATGTTTTTATAATCAAATCCAGCTTCAATGGGGGGGGGGGGTGTGTGTGGTGGGAGGTGTGTTAGAACTAAGATAATCTCGGTGCATGATGCAACGTGTCTGTGTTTCTGTACATGTTGTGAGCAGACGAGGATTGTTTGAGATAAACCGTTAACAAATATGGTAATGCTCCCATATCAACATAAAATACACAAGGTGGTGTTCCCATCTAAACATCAACAAACATGGTGATGTTCCCATCTCAACATCAAATACACAAGGTGATGTTCCCTGCCCAGACATCAAACATGATGTTCCCAGCCCAGACATCAAACATGATGTTCCCTGTCCCTCATCAAACATGATGTTCCCTGT